GCCTCTGATGTACAGGACAGTGAGCAGATTAGATGAACTAGGGACTTGGTAAAGAAGAATAAAACTTTCTACCTCTCATTTATTCTAATTTTCACAAGCTAGTAATAAAAATAAATTTATGACCAGCTGATGGCTGTTTGATAGCCCCAATGAAATGAATTGGGGTCTTCCAATCCTCTGGTAGACTTGTGTTCACACCACAAAACCCACCATAATAATTATCTTGAATTGGTTTCCTTGTTAGACTCAGCAGAAAGGAAAAGAGTGACTCTCTTAATTCCTCTTGCTCCCATAAAGATAACTGCTCTAGCTCAGTGTTGAGGCATATTGGCAGCACACTGCTGTGGAAGCTTAACCCTACTGATCTCAATATTCTACTTACTCTGTGGACAAACAGGACTTCAGTAGCCAGTGCTGTCAGTCTTGCAACTTTCAAGAAGCACTTACCCCCACTTAGAAAGATGTACATGACACTGCAAAACCAGCTAAGTTATTGCCATTCTTGGTTAGACATTTAAAAAAAACCCTCTGCTGACATTCTTATGATTTGAGCCTTTTACAGAGGATTGTATACTTCTTTTAACTGCCAGTTTGATTGTAATAGCTAGAAGCTTAGGTTTGTTTCTCTTGTTGAACTGTTAGAATTTAACTCATGTCTAAAGCAATATGTGATCTTTCTCTCCCCCTGCATGCAGAAGCAGCATTCTTTTATGTCCATATTGTGGCTGCACCCAGCCCCTTGCCAGTTACTCCCACCACAGACACTAGTAATCTGAAGGGTACATAGGATATTCACTAGAGCAGAGAGATCGTGACTCCAATTTAAAGCCCCCCTCCTTCCACGCACCCCGTGGATGGAGCTTCCAGCAGCGAGTGACAAGGCGCAGTAGAAGCAAGGGCCCTGGAGCCAGGCGTGCTGGAGACAGAGCGAAGCAGTTCTTGGGAATCGTGGGCACTACAGCACTAGACCGGTGGGTCCGCGCCGAGGGGACCAGGGGGGAGATGGCCTACGCCGGACTCTTGGAAGCAGAGCTGGTGAAGCTGTGCAGAGAGGGGGGATTGCCTGTGGGGAACGCAACCAAGGCCCAGCTGATTGCCCGGCTGGAGGAGAATGACCAGTCACGGGGCCAGGATCTTGTCCCCGTGGGGAGCAGCCAGACCCCCCCCGGGAGCATGTCAGGCTCTGAGGGTGGGCGGAGCACTGGAACCCATCGGAGAGACGGGACAGCCTCCCAGGGGAACCCTGCAGGCCGTAGTCCGTGTAGGGCAGGGGCCAGCCCAGCAGAGCTGAGGCAGCTGGAGATCCAGCTGTGGATGAAGAAATTAGAAGTAGAGGACCGAGAGAAGGCGCGCCAAGATTGAGAAAGGGACCACCAGGACCGAGAGAGGCAGCGACAGCATGAGTTGGCCCTGGCAGAGCGGAGAAGCGGGGGGGCCCGGCTGCGCCGAGTGCGGATGGACCCCAAGGGCCTAGGGCTGCCAGACACTTGGAGAGGCTCGTGGTGGCCCAATTGAAGGACATGGGCAACATAGACGGGTTCCTCAGCTCCTTTGAGAGGGCCTGTGGACTGCAACAGGTCCCCCGGAGGCTGCCGGAGTGCTCAGTCAGCTGGAGGACCTACAGCCAGAGGATTACAACCGTGTCAAGGGCCTCGTGGCATATTATTTCCATCAGTTTCCCTTTTTGAATGGGATTTTCAGAAGTATGCATAGCCCAAAGGCAGACTCTGACCCTTCATTCTGTAGGTCACATCTGTACTGGCCTTTTGGAGGAACTCTCCCACCATTTCACTAGCACGGTGAAGCACCATCTGCAATAGTAAGTGAGTGTGAGATTGCTGGTTAGTAATGGTTCCATCACCCACAAGTGTCTTAATTGCCATGCTGCCTAGAACTGCGATGAACAGGTTGAATGAATCAGCTGAGAGGCCAGAAGCCAGTCTGCTCCATGCTCTAACTATTACTACCGCTGGTGGAGCTATATGGGATAACAGTGGAGTGATTTTAAGGAGAAAAGGCCTAGCCACTCCTGGTGGTAGGCTGCAACAAAACCTCAGTTACTTCCAAAGTAGTTGCTCGTGAGCTTCCCCTTAGATAGCCTGTGCATTGGCAACACAGGCAGAGGCAGGAGCCTGGGCACGTGTGTGTGAGATCCTATGTTTATATGGTGCTTGGCCACCCTTGGGTTAAGGCAGACACACAGGCCCAGACCCTACATACTGCTTAGGGCTTGCCATGATGCCTTTGAAATCCACTGGGCTACTTATTCCGTTGTGTTTGGCACTGGTAAGAGAAATAGTGCCTGGATCAGGCTGTGGTCACTAACCTTTGGAGGTTAAGAATTAAACTACTGCCCACCCATGGATGATCAGAAAATACATATAGGCTGTGTCTACACTGGACCACTTATTCTGGAAAATCAGCCGGAATAAGCTGCGAGCTGTCTACACTGGCCCTTGAATTTCCAGAAAAGCAACGATGCTCTACTGTACAAAATCAGCCGCTATTCCGGAAAAACTATTCTGCTCCCGCTCAGGCATAAGTCCTTATTCCGGAACACTGTTCCGGAAAAGGGCCAGTGTAGACAGCCCAGTAGTCTTTTCCGGAAAAAAGCTCCGATCGCGAAAATGGCGATCGGGGCTCTTTTCCGGAAAAGCACGTCTACATTGACCACAGACGCTTTTCCGGAAAAAGGGCTTTTCCGGAAAAGCAGCCTGCCAATGTAGACGCTCCTTTTCCGGAAAAACTGAAAACGGAATAGTATTCCGTTTTAAGCATTTCCGGAAATTCATGCCAGTCTAGACACAGCCATATTGTAAACCTCCTAGTTTATTAAACCAGATCACATGGAGGTCCACGTAATCTGAAATGCCTTTGTGTTTCATGGCCTGAAATTGAATTATTTAGGGAAGCTGTAGGTAGCACAACGAGTGCTATCACTTAGCCCTTTGCTCTCACAGCACATTCCTGAGTACAAACGCCACTCAGGTCATAGTAGCACCATAGTGTACAGATGCTGACTGTATTGACAGAAAGGGTTTGCCTGTCAATGTAGTTAATCCATCTCTTTGAGTGATGATAGGTAAGGAGATAAAAGAATTCTTCCATCGATCTAGCGGCATCTACACGGGGAGGACAGTCAGTTGAACTATAGTGCTCAGGGTGCAAAATTTTTCATAGCCCTGTAGTTATGTAAAACTAATTTTGAAGTGTAAATCAGTGTTTGGTTACCACTAGTTGCCTAATCAAGGCTGTATCTTCACATTGATTGTGCCTTACTGAATGCTATTTTTTCTGTCACCTCTGTGAGCAGGTGCAGTAGCTTATAACAGACCATCTCTTATTGTAACTGAATTGCACTCAGTATTAACAGCTCAATTATTTATACTTCATTATATTAATTCATGCTGCTGAGTGTTGCCCATGTGGCTTATTCCTCTGTGATGAATTTCTGATTTTTAGCTAGGTGTCTGGGACTCAGTGAGATCATCCTAAAACGGGGGTCCTTCAGGGTAGTCAGTTTTGGGAGTGAGGACAAGCAAGAGCTCCCCATAAGTGCTGAAGAGAATGTTAAGGTGTGTCTAGACTACAGGGATTTGTCGACAAAACTATACCTGCATCTTCCACTGAGTGCTGTCGACATACCATCGACAGAACTCAACAGTTTTGTCGACGGCTGTAAACCTCATTCTACAAGGAATAACGCCTCCTGTCGACAGAGGCGTTATTGCATCTAAACTGTCCTTTGCATCTACACTGTCATGTCGACAAAGCGACTTGCTTTGTCGACAGAACTGGATGTAGTCTAGGTGCTCTTTGTCAACAGAAGCTTTGTCGACAGTTTCTGTCGACAAAACTTCTGTTGACAAAAGCCTTTAGTCTAGATGTACCCCTAGTGTCCATTCATTGTCTCCCAGCACTTCTGCTCTAATTTAGTCATTGGGATATTTTTTTAGGGTAGCTCTCCTCTCCTGCACTATCACAGCCACTAGGGTTACGTCAGTTTCAACCACAATGCCCCTTCCTCTGTAAGGAAAAGCAGTGATTCGCGTCTAGCCTGACCACTTCTAATGGCTTCACAGGAGCTATAGTAGGAATGAATTAGACAAATGTTCTGTTCCCAGCAACAGTGGGGGGAATCTTAACTCCATGAAGTTACTCTAGATTTGCACTGATGTCACTCAGACTTTATTCACCATTTGTCAGGGAAAAGGCTTATTAATGGGAAATAAATGGCATTTTCAAGCTTCCATTAAAAACACTGGGAGGTTAAAAACCAACAATTAAAAAGTGCTTTGCGGAAGCACTTGATGGAATCCCTTTGAATGTATCCCTAATGATGTTTTCTAGTATAACTGGTATGCTGAGCTACGATTAAAAAAATCCAGCTGAAGAGGAACTGACCTTTCTGTGCAGCCGTCACTTATGCCATATCTGCTGCAGTTAGCGCTAATGCCTTTTCCAATGGGCTGTTAAAACGATTCAGCAGGGGGATGCTCTTCCCACTGAATCAGAACTGATGCAATGATCAGTGTATCAGCAGGAGCTGTGTCGCTGGAGGTGGCGTCTTTCAGATGAGATATAAAACCAAGGTCCTGACCATCGGTGGCTATTAAAGACCCCCTGGTACCTTTCATAAGGGTGCTGATCCCAGTAATTAAGTTCCAATTTGGGTATGTCATTATCACCTTCTCCTTCCATGTGCTTAGTTTCCTTCATTTCCTGACCCTTAAACCAGTGTGCAGTGTGGTACTCCGTGTTATAACAGCTACTGCTTTCCACTACCCTTTGGTGAGGAAGATATAAGCTTCCATGTCTGCAAACAATGCTCTGTGTAAACAATAATACATATTCACAGTCTGAAAAAGACACACAGTGCGAGTTTTGGTATTAAGATTAATATATTTAATCTTTCTTGTTTGTAAAACAAGACAAATTTGTATATATATAGAATTTATATATATATTTATTTATATATACTATATACAGAAAATAAAAAAGTCTCTCAATGACGCAGAGAGATTTATGGAGGAATGGTATAGGCATGATAGGGAGCTCAAGGAAACTCTCTATTTCTTAGTAGATAATGGACGAGGCTGGCCTCCTGTTGGCCTTCAAATAGGCATCGCCTGCCACGGACTGAACTCTGCTTTGGCTATTCCATTGTATATTTTGTTACAGGGCTCTTGAAAGCAGGAGACAAGAGGTGCTCTGTCTGTATTGTGAGAGCCTCCCTTCTTTGCTGATGACAGTGGCCAACGGCTGGTTGAAGCTATGGGCCAGGGAATGTTATTGCACTAGGTAAAGAACACGTGTTAAAAGCACATTGTGCATTTCCATAACTCGTATGGAAAACAAGAGATTTCAAATGTGTGTCTTGTATAAAAAAATAGAGATGGGAGGTGACGGGAGGTGATCAATTGGATTGAGATCCCTAATCATCTCTTTGCACTCTACAAGTGAGTGGGCAATTGCCTGACTTCACAAACCTATCTGTCTTCTGACACCTGCCCTCACTAGCCAGTCTGACCTCTCGTATAGACTCGAACACGTATGCTCTAAAACACAGCAACACCGGGATCCCACCATGGCCTGTTCTCCACATGTGCCCTTGAGGCAGAGTGGCAGGGTGGTTAAGGTGGATGCAGAGACTTGTGGGTTCCCTTTGGCACTGTTTTGGAGGAGAGGGAGGTGCCGTCAGACGGTAGGTTCGGGGTGTGTGTGTTAGAAATGACGGAAAGCAAGCTGGCGCTACAAACCAAAATGCTAAAAATGACTTCTCTTGGCAACGACTCGAACGGCATAGTAAGAGAGAGCTCCCAGCATCTCCCCACCTTGAGCAGAAGGCAGATGGGAATGAACGGCTCAAGAGGTGGAACTCACGTGTCTCCCTTCCAAAATGACTCTTGAATTCCAGCCTCATGCCATCGGTGAAAGCAGTTGGGTTTGCTCTTTGCTGCTCATTCCCTCTGGACATTTCCGCACCATCACACAGGGCTGTGGAGAAAGGCCTAAGTTTGAGCCCTCACAGCACCTGGAGAGGTGGGTAAAGGAGGTCTCCCTGCGGCTGCTAGTGCAGCCTGTGGCTTGTTATAACCATGGAACAGGTTGGGCTCCTGTGTGTCCCTTGATCAGAGCAAGTGTGTGCACATCTGGGCTGGCATTCTGAAAGCTGCTAGGGTGACCCAACCCCTGCATCCGGTCTCCAGGATCCCCCCCCATGACTACTTCACTCCCCCTAACGTGGCCTTGGGGACTTTGATATTTAAGATCCCTTCTGCAGCTGAGGGCAGGACTTGTAGGCTGAGGGTCTCTGGAGGCATAAGAGCTGTTTACGTGGCAAGACGCTGGCTTGGATCCAAGGGGACTCGGACCCAAGCAAAGCTGGAGGGTCTCAGCTCAATTCCTAGTTCCAGACTGGCCCAGTGCACCATGATGAAGTAAAAAATGTCAGCTGTCCTCACAGGGGAGATCCAGAACCAAATTAGCACGGGGCGTGAACTGCAATACCTCCCAGATAAGGGCACTGACAAGATGGCATGGGAGAGCATGCAGAGTGGCTGGCTGTAGCCCTCCGGCGGGTTGGCAGACAGCTAACTATAAGACGTGTGTCCCTTTCAAACTCCACCAATGCAGCTATACACCCCACAGAGAAGTAAAGGATGTCTCTGACCCTGCAGCCCTGTTACAAGCAGGCCTTTTTGGACACAATCTCGCAACAAGAACCACTGACACACAGCTTGGCACATACTGGTTCGTTCAGTTCCCTAGCCGGCTTATTTATTGATCAGCGTCTTTAAGGAGCGCGTGAATGTGCTCATAACAGTTGCAACCGTGGCCGATGGGCGGGACTGCTGCTCCGCCATCTGGTGCTGACTCAGCGTTCTGGCTGTTGACTCTTCCGCCGCCCTCAGCAAGAAGGTGTAGTTCCGCACCACCTCTTCCACCTTGGTCAGCAGCTCCTGGCGCTGGGACTCGGAGCGCACGATGTACACCAGCCTCACAAAGGTCTCAATGAGGCTGCTGAGCACCTGAAAGCTGCTTGTGATTGCTGAGAGCATGTGCGTCGGGCTCTTGTCCACAGCTGCCACCCTGCGGCAGGAGGCCCGGAATTCTTTGAACTTCAGGGCGAGCTCTTGCTTGTATTCGGCCAGCTGGGAGATGTAGGGTTTGCACTCCCGAACTTCAGGGCTCACCACGCACTGCCTTAGGATGGTCAGGAGCTCGTTAGTGTCCAGCTGCACTGCCAGAAACCCGTCTGGCAATGCATAGGCATGGCCTCGAAGGGCGTGGACCTTAGCCAGGCTCCCCTCAAAGGTGGAGGTCCTTAAATCTATCTCCTGGGTCTGGCTATCATCAGGGCTGCTGCAGGCAGTGGCATCCAGGACCTGAAGGGTCCTGCTCATTACTGGAACCATCTGATTGTCCAGCTTCATGCCTGGTAGGATCTGCATGGGGATGGAATAGGAGAGTTCGTCCTTCTCGCTCCCGTCGTCTGCCACGTCGCACTTCCTGTAGTAGAAGCAATACCGGATGGAGCAGCACTTCTTGTCCTCCATGTCTTCCTCCGGCAGCTCGGCATGACTTGGGTACATCTCCTCCTGGAGGGAGAAAGCCGCCGAGCCCTTCTGGCTCTTCTTCTCCTGTGCTATTTGAACGTAAGATGGGTCCCCTGTTCTTGGGGATTCCTGGTTCTTGCTCTTCGGCGTGGTGCTGTGGGTCCCAGGGTCTCCTTCGCTCTGCAGGCCTTTCTGCTTGGCCGGATAGGTGTTCTGGTAGATGTCCGAGGAGAGAGAGGTTCGCTCAGCCTGATCGATTTCACTGACACTGTAGCGGCGCATCAGTTTCTTGTAGTGTGGTGCCCCCATGCACTCTCCACGGGAGGTGCACGTGGTCAGACAAGACATGCTGTTCTCCGGATCTGACCGGTAGTCTCTGGACTCTAAACTTGTGGATCGTATCCGCCTGCCTTTAGAAGGGCTGCTCACACTATTAAGCCTGCCTGCTTCTGCCTGCTTCTGGCTGTCAGGGGCCTTCTCTCTCCCTTGCCTCTCCAGCTCTGGTGCTGTTAACTGGCCGGGCTGTGGCCTCACCCCTCTGCAGATCCGCTTGCAGTCGCAGCTTCGCCTCTGCTCCCGGGACATCCCGGGGACTTTCTGCACAGGGCTGCTCTTCAGCTGACAGCTGCAGCGCCCAGGCACAGAAGGATGCAGGTATTCCGGAGGCGGGAGGTCACTTTTGGTCTTTGGCTTGAGCAGCTCTTCCAGGAATTCCAGCTCATACTGTTTCACCTTCTGGAGCTGGGCCTGCCGCTCGTCTGTCTCCTTCTTCAGCCGCGTTGGGAAGGTAGCAGAGAACAGCTTCCTTAACCTGAAGTGGGCTTTTGGGACTTTGGGTTTAGCTGGAACATCAGCATCCTGCGGGGTTGTTTCCGGGATCTTTTCTGCTTTCTTGGAAGGCACGGTGCTAATCTGCAAGCCCTCAGATCTGGGCACCAGCTGGATCTGCCCTTTGGGATCCTCGCTGGTGCTCCTGGAAGTGCCACTCGTAGATGGAGAATGCAGCGTGCTACCCTCCGCTTGTAAGCTTTTGGCACAACTTTCCTGCTGCATTTTCTCCCCTTGGCTCGCGGGACCCATGTGTTTCTGGTATGCAGGGTTTGCAGCATCACTTTTTGCTTTCTGGCCTGGCTCCCCACTTGCTGGTTTTCCTCCAGGGTCTCCACTCACTTTCTGTGGGTAGCTCTTTGAGGGGAAAGTCTTGGCCTGCAGCCTTTCGCCCCCCCCAGGGGAGGGATGGGACGCATCGCCCCTCTTGCCAGAAGGCTCTTTTGGGCTCAGAGAGGCTTCCGGTTGACAGTCACACGAGGTCTCCACAGCTGGCTGACTCCCTTTGAATTTCAAAGGCTTGCTACTGGAAAGCACACAGCTGCTGCTCCCACTGGCCTGTGTGTCTGCCACCACAGCTGCTGCTTGGGAAGGCGAGCCTTTGCTCCCCACTTGCTGCAAAGCAGCTGAGACGGTCACGCTGCCCTTAGGATCCAGGGTTAGTTTAGGGCTCAGCCGGACCTCTTTGGGCACCTTCTCCCGAGGATCCTGCCCCTGGTCCCTGCTCAAGGCAGCTGCAGTGTGCAGTGACACCTCAAAAGCTGCTTTCGAGTGGCCGGGGCCTTTGCATTCCGAGCCCGGCATTGTCATGTCCCTGTTCTGCTCCTTCAGCTGCGGTGACTGCACAGGCTGGACTGCCAAGGTGTAACTCTGCTCTCCTGGCTGCTGGTCCTGCTTGCTCCTGCTGCAAGAAAGGCTGGTGGGCTGGTGAGAGAAAGCTGGCTTCAGGGAAGGGCCTGGCTCCTGGCGCCCAAGCAGGTATGGCGAGGTGAGGACGGCTTGAGCAGCACAGCTCTGGATTCGGAAGGGAAGATCCTTCCTGCCCAGCAGGTTTTCTTTGTTGATGTGGTGGGCCAGGAAGTAGGCGGCGTTCTGGTGCTGCTTCATGGCCGAGACCATCTCTGAGACATCTGTTAGCTCCGAGGAGTTGGTTTCGTGGCCAGAGTCCAAGGATGACTCGGGCGTGATGGCAGCTAGAACAATGAGACCTGAGAAAACACAAGAGGGACGTGGGGATGTTATGCTGGGATCTCACCTCTGCTTGCAGGAGACAGCAGCAATGCAGAGGAAGTCCCACAGACCTCCGTGCCCACTGGAGGAGAGAGGATTTCAGCAGGGGAACCTCAGCTCCCTCCTCCCACCAACACCTCCAAGAGACGATTTTGACTGGATCACCTGCTCCTGTGCGTGAATGGGATCTATGTCTAGGCAAGTCTGACCGAGACTGATTGCCAGCTTCAGTCTGGCGTCTGACTCAATTCAGTGAGAGCATTTAACCTGCGAAGGGGGCCTGGGAAGGATTCCGGCAGGGCCATGGGGAGCTGTCTGGAGCAATCAGGAAACCTGGCAGAGTGTGGAGGAGGCCAGCAGGCCGCTCACATCACCCACTTTACTCAGCCTGGAGGAATCCAACTGATAACACATTTGCACTTAAGTCACCTTGGCCAGGTGCCCTTTTACAGCTGCAGAATCTCTCAGGGCCAGATAGCCCTGGGAATGCCCAGGGCCCAATGTCTTGACTTCACTGGGGTTTCTCCAGGGGCCAGATTGTCCCACAGCATTGATCTGGTGGCTCGTCACCGTAATTACTCATCTGTGCACACCAAGAGACACGGGCTTTGGGTCTGCTTTGCCCAACGGCGAGACCTGCTTTGGGAGAGGCTGGCGGGCCGTACTGTGCTTGGAGGAGTGGGCCCCTGATCTCCAAAGCAGTTGCACTTTCTCATCCAACGTGCGAGAGGCAGGGCTAATAACAAAGCTTCCCAGAAACAGGTGCAGGGAAACCAGGTTGTTGCTGCACACGGCCAGCCAGGATCTCCTTCCCTTTCTCGCTGGGAACAGTGGAGACTAATGGCGGCATCTCTGCAGGCTCTGACATCAGTTTAGGGTGCGAGGGAAGTGGGTGAGGGTGTCTGGCAACAGGGTTATGGAATCCTCCATTTCCAGGTCGCTGTTGAAGTCCACCCCAAGTCATGTGACTAAAAGTCATTCCCACCTGACAGCTGTTGGCTGGCTGGTGCGAAATCATCATGGTCTCAGTCCAGTTTGCAGCGGACAGTGTCCCCATCCCTGTGCTAGGGGAGCAGGTGCGCTGCAAAGGCAGAACTCCCCTTCCAGCCGGGAGAGTGTTAGGGGGGGGGGGCCGGGGCCCAGC